TCTTACGGTTGCCCATAGAGGACCCATACCTAGAGAACTCTGAAGCCTCAATGGGTCCTCTGGCCTATCAGCCTGTCCCCTTCAGCCAGTCAGGGAACCCTGTAATGAGCACTGTTGCTTTCCTTGCATCTGTGGTCGACCCTCGAGTGGCCTCTGCAGCCGCCAGGGCAGCTTTAGGTAAGAGTTAGTCTGTTAGTGTGTGTGTGCTGATTTGAAGATACGTGTGCTAAGAGAAAATATGTATGTAATGTTTGAACTGTCTTTCAGAGGAATTCTCAAGAGCAAGAGAAGAGGCCCCACCAGAGATATTCAATGCCAGCTTTCACAAAGCACAGAGCGTTGGGCATAATTTAGATCCGGCTTTTACACTCCAAACAGGCAGCATTGCAGAACTTGATCCTGACCATTCAGAAAAGACTGGTACTTAGTTTTTAGTATTTTTTAAAAAGTGTTTTATGTAGTCAAAAGAAAAAAGAAAAAAAAAACTCTCCCCTTGAATTCACTTTTGAAATGCACGTTAAGACTGGTTATAAGCAACTAAATGTCTCCCCCTACCTTAATAATCTCCCTAGTTTAATAATATTTTACATCATTCCTGTTTTTTACTGTATTTTTTAACCCAATAAATGCAGCCTTGGTGAGCACAAGACCCCAAACTGTTGAATGGTTGTGCATGTTAAAACCGTTTTAGTGTCATTTAAGAATAATTGGAATGGTCGTACTTGAAACATCCAGGGGAGGGCAGTAAGTAAAAGAAATGTTTAATGTCATTTAAACAACCATCTTATATGGCCTCTGAACACCCAATATTATATAATAAGGTTTATGATCAACATTAGGATTATGACTAATATATTGTTCTCTTTGTTTTTTGTTTTTTTGTAGATGGGAGTAGTATAGAAACGATGAGCACTGCATATGAGCAACATGAAAAGGTATGAGAAGCTTCTTCAGACACAAATAATCATCCATTCTGATGTTTTATGTTCTTATTTCACAAATCTTAACAAGGAAAGTATGATTGATTGTCACTGAGACTGTGCTGTCTTTTGTAGCTTGAGGGTGATAGCATCTTGGGAGAGGGAGAGCATGTGAAGAATGAGGAGAAAGAAGAGAGTGAAGGAGAGAGGGGAGAGGAGAGCACAGCAGGTCAGAGGATCACAGATGCTCTGCATATTAAATCTCTTTGCATTGATTCACCTTGATTTAACACATTGCTGCTATATTGTTAAATATTTATTGTTAGTTGCAGTTGGTGTGACAGCTCAGGTACACCAAAGCTGTGTTCAAAATGGTATACTACTATACTACTCAGACTACATTTGAAAGGAATTCTGTATGCATAATATGCACATTTTCTGGATGCATGTGATGCCCAGATGACCTAGCATTTTCTCCAAGCACTGTGCCTTTAGCTTTTGTATAAAAACCTATATATGGAATTACAAAAAAGGGAAAAGAAAGTGACCCCATAGCACTTAACATTCACAAAGCATGTTAGAAGTGAACCACATCATTTATGACAGTGAATCTAGCCAAAAAAAGTTTTGAAAGAAGTCTCTTATGCTCACCAAGGCTGCATTATTTAATCAATCTTACAGTAAATCAGAAATATTGTGAAATATTACAATTAAAAATAACTTTTAATATATTTTTAAATCGTAATGTATTCATGTGGTATTAAAGCTGAATTTTCAGCAGCCATTGCTCCAGTCCTCAGTGTCACGTGATCCTTCAGAATTGTAATATTTGGATTTGGTGCTCAAGAAACATTATTGCCAATGTTGAAAAAAATCGTACTGACCCCAAATCTTTTGAACAGTAGTTTATATCAGAGGTCCCCAACCACCGGGTCACGACCCACTACTGGGCCATGGAAGAATTGCTACCGGGTCGCAAGAATGTTCTGGGAAAAATGTGTAGGCCTATAGATATGACACTGTTATTTATTTATGTTAATGATTGTTCTAATTATTCTGTATTTTCTTTGTATGCAATTGATATGGAGTAGCAATTTGACAATTTCATGTTAAATAAGTAGGCTAAATGAAAGATTGCTCTGATCTGTCACATATTAGGAGTTAAACGGGTCGCAGTTGATCCGTAATACGGATGAGACCCTACCATTCGGCACGCACGTGATTCGCAGATTAATTTGCCAATTTACACGTACAAGCAATTTTAAATCACAAGAAGAAGAAACGAAAGAGAGCTCAATTCGTTACTCACGCGCTGTTCTCGCACACAAAGCGCGCACAAGAGATGTGTTTCAGACAGCGCGGAAATGCCGAGTTGCATATACATACACACAAAATTAGCCCGTGTCAAAAACCCTTCACAGCATTGTCATTCTCTGTGCTTTAAATAATTTTTTTCTTTCTTATCCGAAAAAATAGTCCGATCTGTCACAAAAAAAAACACAATATAATGCGTTGAACCACTATATAATGCTATTATAATAGCTATTATATAATATCCTAATATATATATATTATTATACATATATCCCCCCCAATGAGTAAAAATTAGTCATGCAATTTCTACTGTATTTCTTCATTTTTCAAACTTTTTGTATGTCTATCCAGAGGAAAGTTTTGACATGTGCCTTACCCAAGGGGATGGAGAGGAGATGAAGAGGAGGATGGCGCTTGAGCTGGTGGAGGGAAACATCGCCACAGCTGCTGCTGCAGCACTGGCCTCTGCAGCTACCAAAGCAAAGGTAGATGTCAAACCTCTTTTCTTGCAACCGCTCCCGTGACCTTTAATTGTGACAAAAAAGCCATTCATCTGAACTCACGCTTCTCTTTCTTCTGTCCCTCTAGCACTTGGCTGCAGTAGAAGAGAGGAAAATCAAATCTCTGGTGGCTCTGCTGGTTGAAACTCAGATGAAAAAGTTGGAGATCAAACTGAGACACTTTGAAGAGCTGGAGACCATTATGGATCGAGAAAAAGAGGCTGTGAGTTAGAGTGCCTTGTTCAAACAAGATCTGGCATCTCTCCAAGACTCCAAGAAACTTTTGAGAGCACCCTAAATTATTTTTCAATGCAAGAATGTTTTACGACCTGCATTTTAATCGCCATTGATTTATTTTGAGAAAATTATTTGTAATATAATACATTTGTTTTAATGTAATAATAATATTTGTTATAATACATTTTCATAATCTCTTAAAGGGATAGTTCCCTTAAAAATGAAAATCTGTTTTCATTTACTCACCCTCATGTTGTTCCAAACCTTTTTTCTCTTTTATTTAAACAGAGAAAATCTTGCTGACTGCTATCTGCATTTTAATGTAGAGATTTGTTTGGGAGGGTGTTTAAACTTAATTTGATATCTGTGTGTTGTAGCTGGAGCAGCAGAGACAGCAGTTATTGTCGGAGAGGCAGAACTTCCATGTGGAGCAGGTGAAATATGCTGAGATGAAGGCACGACAGAATGTGGAACAGCAGCAACAAGCGGGAGCCACACAGAGCAGCAGTAGTACAGCATACAACCCTCTTCACCATGGTACACTCTCTCCTACACATCAGTCAACCCTTTTGTCTCATGCACACTCATATACTTAATAATATTGTGTTTTTTGCATCTCTCTCAGGATGTTCGGTGGGCAGTGCTAGTACTGGACAGATTGTGGGCGCTCGGCACTCTGGAGCTCCCAATGGCATGTGTGAGTAACACATGCCTCAAAGCAAATGCGATCAACACCGGTGCAGTGTTCGAAACCTTTTGAATCCTGCTGCTTTTCGTTTTTTGCCAACTCAGACCAAACTCCACCATCCTCACAGGCTGATGGGGCCACACCCATGTAATGTCTTCACCTCCTTAAGACCCAAACTCCGCAAGATGACATGAAGAACACAGTCACTTCATTACCCACATTCATCTCTACAATAGCACTTCTTCTGTGTATATTTAATATTTTTTAAGCATTGATGCTGACATATAAGTGTAAGATTTGAGGCTTTTCGTAGCCGTATCTGTCTGTACTTAATGTTTGTAGATCTGTTTTTGTATTGCCACCAAGCACTAAAACAGTTGTTTTAGTAAGAATAAATCTTTTATATGGAGTTATAACTTCTTGAGTGAGCTCATCTATTGAAGTTTACTTTAGAAGATTTTCTAATACTTGAATATTTTTAATTTAGTAGCTTAATCTCTGATGCATTTAAAACATTTAATTTGATATTTGTGGTACAAGTATTTCAGCAGTCAACTGTTCTTAACTATGAAGAAAGCTGGACTGCGCCATTACTTGATTTGTTCCAGATGTATTTTTAAGAGAAACTCTTAGATCACAGGTTTGTGTGCACTAAACTCTAGTGCACAAGGTTTGGGAGAAGTTTTTTAATGCTTTTTTCCATACACAAGAGTAAATGGAGCTCATAAATGAGATTTGAGAGCCACAGGCTTCAGGGGAAGATTTTCAGCAAAAACACTTTTATTGTATGGAAAGGAGCAACTTAATTGTCATTAATATCGTGCCCTGTGTGTTTGACTGAAGAGTCATAAGTTTGGAACGACAAAGTTGAGCAAATAATTATAATTTTATGCTGAACGGTCACTTTGAGAATTGTTGAATAAAACTATGGAAAATGTTAAAGAAATGTTACCGTGGCAACTCACTGAAATAGGTTTGTTGAAGTACTAAAATTATTAAAGCTAAAACAAACAAAATTAAAGCTATATTTAAAAAAAAAAAATGAGAAGCACAAAATTACTAAAACCTAAAATGAAAGCTGAAAATATAAATTAAAAGCTAATTCAAAAATGTATAAAATGCTATCATTTTATAAAATACTAAAAGAAAATTACTAAAATAACTAATTCTAAATATAATTAAAAATTCTACATTATACTAATAAAATTGGTTTAAAAAAATACAAATACAAATTTCCTCTTTGACCAAGGATAATTTCCACAGATCGCTGTGATTTTAGGAAAAAATTGAGAGTCCCTCCCCTCTTACGTTTGGACAGGCGTCTGTGGGTGACCCAGTTTCAGACGCTTTGTTCGGGGGAACCGCCTGCATCAGTTTTGTACCTTTATTCAGAGAGGTCAGTTCAATTATTTATAATAAAACAATTTAGAATGTCAGTATTTTATATTTAAGTGAACTTCAATGCATTTTGGGAAAGCAAGTGGGGACATTTTAGTGATTCTATCACACGACACAAACTGTGTCGGTATTGAGGCGCATGAGCAGATACTTCACATCAACCGTGAGTTCGACTGGCACAAAAACTCGTCCGCTGGAATTAGCCTACTGCAGTCAGTGGCAGCGTGAGTTATACTGAAACTCTCCGCTTCCTTAGTGGACGCCTGATACTGGCTCTCATTACCAATGAGACACATTTAACTGTCTTGGCATCTTGTTGGAGTTGGATAAGAAATGACGGGTCCCAAGCGACGCTAAGGGTGGCCTGAATCTCAACCAAAGAGGAATAACAACTGAAGACAACATCCGAAGTTGGCATGAAGCATCGCGCTTCGTAACGCATTCAATCTAAGGAGATTTATGTCCAGGATTATTGCTCAGATTCTCCAAAATATCTCCCGTATGACTATATCTTAAATAGAAGATCCACCTGGTTCAGTTGAAGTGTTTGTGTCATGATGATCTCCAGGCACACGTTGTTTTCAGCAGGTTGGGAGTCGGTGGTGCTGTCCAGCGTCCTGCTTCTTCACATCGCTCCTTTGTGTGTTAATGGTGAGTATATATTTGAGTTATTATTATACAATCTTTCTAAATGCCTGCCTTTCCTACATTTAACAGGGACCTTCTTTGTAGTTTGTTTATGTGACCTGTTAGAGCTTTTTAAGGGAAATAACATAAATTGTGCAAATTTGAAACAAAAATGTAATAGTAATTACCGATTCACTCGGATCAAGCGATAAACGGGTCTCTAAAAATGCCACCAAGAATTAAATTTAAATTATAATAAATTGTTAGCACAATTACTTAAGAAAGCTCGAGTCGTTTGGGAATTTCAGAACTATTTACGTTTTTAAAATGTACGTAATTGAGAGAAAATGTACTAAGCACAGCCTCTTTTTTGTTCACCTTATTGGCATTTTATAAATATTTAAATTTAATTTAATAATTCATCTAATTATTCATTGGACCAAAGAATTTACGTGATTTTATTCGTTATGTATAAAACATGTATTATTTATGTTAGACTGGATAATAGAATACTGCCATATAAAAATTTGCACAAAAAAAAAAAAAAAGATTTTTCTCATCTGCATCTCAAATTGTTGCTGAGCGACAGCACCTGAAGACTAGGTCAATAGGCTTTGCTGCATGAGTACCAAATTGTCACGTTGCCGTGGTTGACCTGCATCACACTACAGTTGCCTCGGCCTAACTAATGACTATGTAAAGCAGGAAAGTATCATTTGCATAAGGAGCTTTAAATGGTTGCACTTAGCTGAACCTCTGACCTCTTGGCCGACTTCCCAAAGTCTATATATTATCGCATCACTGTCTCTTCAGAGACATGCATCTTTCATCAAAACAGGATGTTAAGCAAGCATGCTCCGATGATAAAAATTGACCTAAGTACTCATAATGGCCTTATAAAAAGCAATTCAAACCTTTTATTATAATCAAGCCATTTAACAAATCCAGATGCTCTTGTCTTTAATTTGCTTTTGTAGCTGCTGCAGTCAGTCCAGAGTTCTGTTCAGCCATGCTGATCTGTTATCATTCTGAAATTCTTTGTTAGACGTGAATGGTGACTGAGGGTGTATGTATGTGGGAATGGGGAAAATAAAATGTGGGAACTGTCAAAATAAAAGTTGGTTCCGAAACATTGTCTGCACAGAAAAAAATACATATCGGCTGACACTGATAAGTTAAAAGTGGCAAATGTCAGACAATACAGTATATTGGTCGACCACTTCATTAAAGTCAGCACATTCAAAACACTCTCCCTGTGGCACTTCTTCCTTAAGGTGAACAATTAATCAGAGCACATTATTCTAAAGAAAAAAATGTCTTCAAGTCCTGCCCTCAATATTCCCACTGAATGTCATGATTCTTTAAAAAATGTCACACCATTTTATATTGAAGTCAACTTGGAGAGTTCAGTCAAATCACTTTTCATAGTTATTCATAAGACTGAAATGTGTTTTGTTGCCATTTGTAGCTATAGTGCCTTCTTATGTTTCTTTTGATGTTATGCTAAACTAGGGACAATCATTACTATAATAGAACATGCATTGCTAGTGCCTAGTTGAAATTAGTGGGCATGCTGTGACAAAAGGCTGTTACTCTTCTTTGTTGTTTTTGCCAAGACCAGGCACTCACTTCCTCAACCAGAGAGAGAAATAAAAAGCGACAGACAGGATGCATTCACAAAAATGTGCACACATTAAGTCTTTGAACCATGCAATGACATTACTCTGTCTTGATGTTTATTTTAAAACGTCTAAAACCAACCTCAGATCATTTTTTTTAGTGCACTTTCTCTCTAAACTTGCTTAGATCCTTTCCATGCATGGCACAAGAGAGCCATCTGCCACTGCGCTCTCATAACAGCAGAGACTGTCAATGAGCATTAGCGTCAACGAGCTAGTGTTAGCGGCCGCCTAGCCTGCCCGTATGGAGCTCCCAGTGAGGGCCAACTGTGTTTATCCTGCCAGACGCTGACACTAGAGCTGCCTACACTGTTGGAAACTTATGGAACTACACAACCTGTTGGACACTTGCTGATCTTCAGCATCTGTGCAGTAAAGCATTGCAGTTGAATTAATCATGTCGGTGATCCAGTTTTGTACTAGTTAAACTCAATGACTGTGACGAACGCTGTGTTTGACAAGGGGACCGATTGAGTGCAGTTTTTGGCTCGAATATTTAATTTGGGTTGCATAACTACTAATGGTCATACTGTACAACAGTAGCACAGGTTGGGGTGGCACTGCTAATCCCACAGGTCTGGCATCTCTATATGTCTGTTTGGCTTGCACTGATACTGCTGTGAACCTACACCCATCTTAAGGACATCCATGCCAGCTCCCCTGCCAAGCAGCATCACAGTACTATTTATAAATAAGCACATGGGTGGCACCGTGGCAGTGTGGATTTTATTCAGCAGAGCTTAGAATGACACTTACCTTTAGTATACCAAGTTATCAGATTTGAAAATAAGATGAGGTGAGTTAAATGTTAAGTTGTCTCTTACATGAAGAGTATAGACTTCATAGTAGAAGAAATTGGAAGGTCTACATGGCATCTTTGCCCACAGAAATTGGAACGCCCGTCATTCACAAAGTTTTACACAGTCTCTGCCCTCTTTGCAATTTTAAAGTTGTGATGAAATGGAAATAGTGACCGATCTTTTCTTGTGTATTGTGATGTACATCCAAAATGGATTATCAAAAAAGAAAAACATGTAGACCTGGACTTTTATCCATCGGTTGTTGATTGGATGGAAGCAGATCTGAATGAGAACTTGCATCCAACTGTAAGAAAGGGGTGGGGTTGAAGCAGACTAAATGATTGAAGAAGTTCTGCATTCATCACCAAAGAGAAGTCATTTCTGAAGTCTGGCGAAAATCGATTTAAGACATTTTGATAAAAAATGACAAGGTCAAAAAAAAAAAAAATCGTACAGTAAATTGAAACAGTGATGGATAAATTGTTCACAGAATGGTCAATAATGTGTTTTGATAAAAGATTAAGTGTCTTTTCATGCTGACTTTAAATATTTTGGCTATTTTCATTATGGTTTCAACTACCAATAAGAATGTACTAATCAGCTCTGTTTAACACATTTTTGGAGATTTTGGGTGAAAAAGAATTGTTCACACAAAATGTTCTTTTAAACACAAAACTATGGGATGATATTAGACTCTAAATGATTAATAGATGCACGCACAATTATCCATGTACTGCATACATTTTATACATGTATCTTACTAACCATGCACTGGGCCTTGTTCGTTGGTAGTTGTGTGTGTGAGCGTCGTGAAATGCTGTAAACTGCGAAAATGAAGTCTCAAAATCCAAATGAACCGAACAAGATCGACTCGAACTAGACATCAATTAATGCATGCGTGTCACCTGATCCACATATGCATAGATTCCTTTTTGCATTAGCAATTTATGATATATTAATGCAGAACAGAACATGTTTATTCACAAACATCTCTTTATTTGTACAAATCGCTGCACAATCATTTAATCCCGAATTCCACAGACTCAAATTGAAAGGCATTTGTTTGTGGTTAGTAAGATACATGTATAAAATGTATGCAGTACATGGATAATTGTGCGTGCATCTATTAATCATTTAGAGTCTAATATCATCCCATACAAAAGAATATTTAAAATGCCTTTTCTGCTCTCAAAGAAAGGCAATGAGGTCCAATGTTGTTTTGGACTGTCTTGGGCTTTAACTTTCATTTTATGGACAAAAAAAACTTTAAATATTTTCTTTTGTTCTCTATACTTCCATATTTAAAACCATTTCTGCCATTGTAATTCTACTGTTAATGCATTTTCCGTGAACATGGACTTTTTCATGGAGCATCTTGACACGTTACCTCAAATACTCCCTCAGATTACAGGTCTGTTTGGGTCATCAGAGATCGAGGGAGAAAAAGATAGTAGGAGGGATGAGAGAAGAGAAGAGAAGTTGGCATTTGCAATTTTCCATGCTCTGCAACGTGTTTTTTTCCCTCCTCAAGAGTGTTATATAAGCAAATGTCAACTAGAGACAGAGGAAGAACATGTGCTGTTTTTTTTTAATGAAGGTAAAGAGAGACAGTACAGTTTTGCTTTACAGTACTATAGCACTAAAGTTTGATGTTTGGTCTCCTTTGATCATCATTTATTAGTATTCTGATACAGATTTTATGTGGTATGGATTGTAAATAGAGGCTATGAGCACAGTGAGAGAATGAAGACGGCATACTTTCACACACTCTTACAAATTTAAATGTCTCACTGGTGAGGTCATGAGAAAATAGTTCTCTTCCCTATTTCTTTCTTGCTCTCGTTCATCTTACCCTCCTTTTTTCTCACTATCCCCCTCGCTCTTGCAGTCTTGACATGCCTACTAAATAGGGGACAGAAATCCTTCTCAAAGGCTTTGGCACTGGTCTTCAAATGGGTGGGAAGAGAAACGTACTCTCACTGTCACTTTTTGTCATCTTCACAAAACAACTGTTTTCCTCTTGTATCCTCTCTCCTGCTCTGTCTTTGAGGGGTGACTGTGTTTTATTCTCATCAGTCCAGCATTGAGCTTTTAAAATATTTCCAAATAATATTTCTTGCATTGATATTAAACTGTGTGCTGGTGGGAACCTAGATGAGAATTAAATAGAATACTTGAACATCACGTGAGGTATGTGAGAAATAATTTATGCACACGCTGCCAGCTCCGTTAGCCTCCCTGGGGGGATTGTGTGAATAAATGAATGGGAGACAGAGAGGAAGTGAATCAAGTGGAGAGGACAGAAGAGTCTCTGTTTTACATGGCTTTTGAGATGTTCCACAATGGCAGCCCCTTTACATTGCTTCTTGGCAACTGTGTGTGTGAGTGAGTGTCTGTTAGGGGTTCATGTGTGACTTGGATTTAATATACAATGAAGAGGAATTAAACCAAGAATGCCCATGGAAACGGAATTTCACACTGTCAGTCAAATACTATAAAGTAGATTGCTAAAAGTCAATCAGTAAAATTTGACTAAGTATTCCTCAGGCCTGCTTTTTGTAATGGTTTTAATTCAAATGATCAAACAGAATTGACATTTATTTGTCAAGTGTGCACAAACACTTTGCGTTTTTAAATCTATTTATTTTATATTTATTATTTTTGCTTTATTGTATTAAATGCACAACCGTTCAGAAGTTTGTGGTCAGTATTTTAATTAAAACTTTTTTTCCAACAAGGAAGCATTAAATTGACTAGTAATTGTAATTGTCTGTTATAGCAATTTAATAGTACAAGATTTCGGTTTTAAATGAAAGTTCTAAAGAACAGAATTTATTAAAGAAAAAAATGGTATGTTTGTATCTTGAGCATCAAATCAGTATGTCGTTTTAGAATGATTTTATAAGGCTCATGTGAAACTGAAGACTGGTGTAATGGCTGCTGAAAATTCAGCTTTGACAACACCGGAATAAATTACATTTTAAAAAATATTAAAATAGAAGGTAGGTTTTTAAAATAATAATAATATTTACAATATTACTGTTCTTACTCTATTTTTGATCAAATAAATGCAGCCTTCTTTTAGAGACTTCTTTCAAAAACATTTAAAAATCTTATTGAATACTAACTCAAAGTTTTAAACAGTAGTGTATATATTTCATAATATAATATGAGAAAATCAGGGATTGAAATAAAAAAAAGGATATTTCCATGTGTGTTCATATTTGAGGTGGATTGCATTAGATTGGTTTAGCATCAGTAAAGGACAATCAATTAGGTCAGTGAGATTTTCCAGCGCTGAAGAGGAATTCCCTATTGTGTGTTTATCTTTGTGCATTAAAGTTTACCCATCCAGACTGACCAATGCAAATCTCAACCTACAGCCCTTAATCCTAATCTGAATCCCAATTCTCGCCCAGGCTCAGTAATTTACATTAGTAAATCAGAGCTGCTAATCCAGCTACCACAAGCTGCTTTGGAAAGAAATCTGGGGCCTCGCGCACAGCAGTGTATAATTAAGCAGATTTGTCCAGGTTTGTGTGTGATGCAGAGTATATATATTTTGTCCTTTGTTCTCTCTCTGCATGACTGCGGAGTTGCTGAGTATGCAGAATGGTAGTGAGTGCTTGTGAAGGTGTTCTTATACAGGAAAAATATATATATATATATATAAATATACAAAATATTAAAAATATATATTTTAAAAAGTTGTAAGTTTGTGACTTTTTTGTTATTATTATTATTTGTTTGTTTATTTTCCAGGCAGTTCGTTTATCTCCAATTCTACTGGAACTAACTCCTCAGACCTGAATGGGATGGGGCTTAAGCCTGCACTTCCTGGTGAGGTCACACCTATTGCCAGGGCCCACGTTCACTCTCGGAAACCACGAGCTGGAGAAGAGTCAGGCAGTGGTGGAGAAACCTCAACCAGTGCTGTGACGGACAGCAGTGTTGATTCAGCCGAAAGGGAACACGTCATTGATTTGACGATAGATGGCATGGCTGCCCGGCTGCCCACGCTGGCTGAACCCCGGACACGTGGCCTGTCCCAGCTAGACTTTAACGAGGAGAGAATTGAGGACAGCGCTCCACGCTGGAAGAGCGAGAGACTACAAGCGGATGGGACGTTTTTAGAGTCCACCCCTTCCCAACCAGAAGAAGTTATCACGGTGAATTTTTACAATCCGTCTTACCAACAGCATGTTCTTGATCCTCCTGCTTGGGTTCAGGAGCTCCAGGGTGGAGATCCAACCTCCTGGACGCTTTCTGATTTTTATGATTATCTGTCACCTGACTATTCACCCACTGAAGTTTATCTAGAGGAGAGCCAACCAACGCCACCTGACATGGAAGATGAAAATGTTCCTCTCATAGCCAGTGCAATTCCCTCCAACACTAGAGTTATTACACCTGATGATGGATCTGGAGAATCTTCACCTGGAGCATCGGATGGGCTCAACTCTGGTTGTCTCTATGGTTTTGTGCGTTACAATGGCACATGTATCTCGTCATGCGACATCTTCCCCAGTTACTGCTTCAATGGAGGACAGTGTTATGTGGTTGACGGTATTGGTGCTTTTTGCCGGTAAGATGCACACATTCATGTGTTAAGGCCCATTCACACCAAGAACAATAACTATATTAAGTATATAAGCATCCTCAACAATGCACAACAATGTTCTGTTTTTGTAAGCGTGCAGTGTAGTTATGTCTTCTGCTGCATTAAACGCTGGATCTCTTTAATGTTGGGTGGATTCTAATTGACTGGAAACAAATGCTCTGAAAATTATTCTAATTATATTGTTTCTCTGTGTTTTCGTTATAGTTGTGGTGTGGACTTCCCTATTCTCTTAGAATTAGAGCGATTATTATAACTTTACAGTTATCGTCCTTGCTGTGAACAGGTCTTAAAGGGGTCATATGATGCGATTTCAAGTTTTCCTTTCTCTTTGGAGTGTTACAAGCTGATTGTGCATCGATAAGATCCCCGAAGTTGCAAAAACTAAAGTCTTAAAACCAAAGAGATATTCTTTATCAAAGGTGTTTTTTGAACATTAAAGCATGTCAACATATTATGTTACACCAAATACACAAAATAATGATCTTTAAAAAAGCATCATATGACCCCTTTAACAATCATAATGCAATCAAAATGTTACTTAAATTGAAGAAAACTTTTCCATGAAATTAATTTAACTTTGTACAACAAAGTGTTATGTTAAACAAACTTAAACTTATTAATAATGAATGCTTTTGAAATGCTGCTTCATGAAGCTTAGAAATGTTTTGGAATCTTTTGTTTCGACTTCAAAGTGCGTATCAAACTGGCCGAGTTACTTGATTTCAGCTGTTTTGAAACATTTTGTAATTTTGATGGTTGCCACTACAATGCGTTATTCTGGTAAAACCATGAATTAGTGTCGAATATTGTTTTAAGTGATCTCGGGTGGTTTTTATAATTTATGTTCAGTTTTAATTAGTCACGTGTGTTTACTGGAAAAATGGAGAGTGATTGTCTCTAATTGGCTGAGTAGCCAAGTCCTCTAAAAAACACACAAAACAAGATATACAAATTAATATTTAACATTTACAGATTACATCTGTTGGTTTGTGAAAGGTGTCATCATGTTTGGGCTGTATTTACGTAGCGAAAGGAATGTGTAAAAGACCATCCTGATGTTTCTGCTAGCATCGGTGGCATCTGATCAAACGTTCACAATGAGTTTGAAGATGAAACTCAATCCTTCGGTCATGTTCGTGCATCTGTTCATGGTGCAGGATTATTATTTACATTTTCAAGCTTAGTGCTGGTCTCTAAAATGTCCCAAAATCAAATGTTGGGATTGAAGATGGATTGAGTCTCAGTTGAAGACATCTCTTGGGAACAGTAGTAAATGGCCTACCCTCAATGATCTTGAAACTGGGCCAGGCTCATGCAAACATGTGGGACTGGGCTAACCAGGAAGCATTTTTTACACTATGCAGCAGTTGCCATAGGGTTTAGGAAAGATTTTTGGCTTTTATTTAAATGCCTAATGTAACACTCTACCATATATAAAACAAATAAGATATATATACAAAATTATTAAAGGAAAAGATCAGACAGGCCACAGCATTAAGTTCTTCAGCCATGTGTTAGTTGCTGCTACAAGAACATGAAGGCGCCTTTTTGTAGTTTGGAGAAATGTTTGGTGACAAAACTATGCCATACAGCGCCACTATGCCATACATTTATTATTTTCCCTCCATCTGTTAGAAATATCAATGATCATTAGCTCTTGCCTTAAACATGCTTGATCTAGTATGTGTTGTGTGGTTGGGCAGAACAGAATAATCCAGTTTTTTTCATCAGTGGCCTTCAAAATCCAATTGCTTGGTAATTCATAGTGACAAGGTTTAAAAAATGCCATACCTTACTATTAGGCAGAATTTTAAGTTTCTTAATTGTTATCATGTGTGCAATGCCAAAACCATGACATTTAAAAAGAAATTATTTCTTGTCTCACAGTTGCCTTTTTCAATATGGAAACTGAGCTCGATATAGTAGTGAATCAGGTTTTTTTAAATTTTTTTTACAAGAACTGGACATTGTCAAAAGTGGCAGGAGTGATGAATTGAGAATTAAGATAAAATTTGCAAAGCAACATTAGAATGGAACTGAATACTGTACATAAGCCATTATTAAATATAAATACGACTTCACCAAAGAACTGTAAGTGACTTGTGTAAGTGACAAATTTTTAACAAATAATTTTAGTAATGGAGATTAAACAACATGTTCAGTTTGTTCGTTTAAGAAGTTTGTTCCAGTTTGACACAATAATCAGAAAAATTTTTAATACTGATATAAAACTCATTCTTGAGATGATCTGGGTGGAATTCCAGTATACATGTTAAGAATGTTTAGCATTTGTCTCACAGTCACCTGCTGTTATTTCAGTACCACACTCTAAAATGCTCCATGCCTGTCATCGTGGCTTGGCGGCATATCACTCTATACTAAACCAGCATCCACTACTGCCACAACTCTACTCAGAGGCCAGTGCAGACCCTTATTAAACATTTGCTCAAAGGGATTTGGGTCAGAGCCCAGATCTGTGAATGTGTGTATTTCAGTTTAAGAGCTAAAGACCCTGCCTCAAGCTGGTGCTTTGGGTCATAATAGTGGGGTTTTAAGAATCTTGTTTGTGTGTAGTGAAGCTTCAGTGCTAGATGATGTGATGTGTTAAGCTGTGTGTTTGAGAAGATGACTACTTGCTCTACTCTGGATAATGCCCACACCCTTACAGCTTTAAAGTCAGGATGAAAACAACATGGACCCTTGCTTCCCTGCCTTATTGTAATCGATCAGTGCTCATTATCCCACAGAAAAGTTAGACTTTTTACTGTAGTCAAATATTTCTATTTATTTTAATAAACTTAAATGGATAATTAGGTATTTAAAAATAATGCACTTTACCAGTTTATTGATTTATTATAACAATACAAACTGAGGAAAAATATGTAAAATTGATATATTAGATTATTAATATGTAGATAAATAATTAAAATTAATATTTTTATTAATTATTTATATTAAAAAATTCACTTATTAATTTAATTATATTAATTCACTAGTCTATTTTTTATTTATTTTTTATTTTTAAGCAAAACCACATTTAGTCCAGCTCCATTTCGGTAGGCAATAGTAACTTTCATTCAGGCACATGCCGCAGGGCTAACTTGTCGATCGCTGAGAGAAGGCGTGACCGGGTGCTCTCTACATTAATGGGGTCAGTGCTATTGGAAAAGACCAGTTTTCCATTTGTAGTGCATATAAAGAGTGAACTATTAGATGAACATATAGTTTGTGGGGGGGGGGAAATGCATTCAGCACATGCATTTGCTGAATGTGTTTCAGCTGGTTTACACTAAATGGAAGGGTAGTTAGTAGAATAGACCATAAAACTAGGTTTCAAATTGATCTTTTTAGGCTAAATAGTAAACATGGCCTACATGCACACTGAGCAATGATTTCCTGCAGTATTGATTGGCCTTTCACTCACTACAAAACGTACCCATATGCTGCAGAGTGTAAGTATACGTTTGTGGTTTGTGCTTGACCAGCATCATATGGCGATGGCGTGTCCATTAGTTTAATGGTATTTGATTTGGCTTCATTTGAAACTATTGTTTTTGCTCTGCCAACAAAAACGTAACTTGAAATATTTTGTCTAAAATGTAAGTCACTCAATATTAACTTTTTTATTGAACTGTTGTATAAAAACGATATCAACACTGCTGTGATTTTTCTGCATCTCAACCAATGAACCATATGGGCTAATATGCATTACATAATAGAAAAATAATAGATCCAGCATCTTCAATAGGATATTGAGCACCTCATACACTATGAAAACACTGGTAAATGAGAGAATTTGTAAATTTATTTTGGAAGCTGTGAACTGAGCATAGCTCAGGTGCTTTATTCTCTGTGGGACCGGCACAGATAGAGGAGCACATAAAGTACACGTCCTTGACAGGGCCATCTGTCCAGTCATGCAGCTGTAGGACTAACCTTGCAGTCAAATCATAGTAATGATAAATGTGTCAACAGGCCACACAACACACTTAAAGTGTGCAACACACTATACTGTTTCTCACTTTCTTTCATCTCTCCACAGATGTGTTTGTAATGGCCAATTTGTTTGAATGTCTGTAAATGAATAAAATTCTGTAAATCAGTCTAGTTCATATTCTGTTGCATTTCCATTTAATTTAATATTGCATTTGTAAGTTTTATGGTTATTTCCAAAACTCTTGACCAGATTTCTTTCTGTGTTCATATAGCCTGCATTGTCCCAAATCATGCTTATACAACATGTCATATGAAATATCACAGAAGTAAATTATTATATATACCAGTTTGTATGCTGCTCAACTGCCTCTTTTCTAACACCTCTCTCTGTTGTTTGTAGGTGTAACATTCAGGAGTATATCTGGAACAAAGGCTCCAGGTGCGAGTCGGTCATTTCTGACTTCCAAGCGATGTGTATAGCAGTGGGTGGAGCTGCCATCATGTTGTTACTCCTCTTCATGCTTATAGTCTTTTTCTCCAAGAGGATGCACGTGCTTAAGACTGAAAACAGACGACTTCGCAAGCACAGGTGAAACGCACATGTAAACACACACTTCTTAGAGTCCTAGTTTCAGATTTGACTGTTTAAATTTTGCTTGATGGAGCTGAATACACTGTAGCACATACAGGCTGGAGTACAATAAAATGTGCAGTGTTAACATGGGCTTTGAAAACAATGATATCACCCTTCTTTGCTGAAAGTAGGCCAGTCTGACAGTGCAGCACGAGAGCGACCTATATACTATGCAGCCAAAGGCATTTAAACACAAGCCAAGAGAAGGGTAAGATGGAGAGCAGAGGAGTGGAAGAGAAAGGAGAAAATTGGAAGAGATAAAGGGAAGGGAGTATAGTAATGATGACAACAGTTCAAATTGTTTACGTTTGAGTTTTAACTGCCCATCAAGACCATTTGCTGCAGGTAACATCTGTGTACATGTGTGCTTGTGCAAGCAACTTGAGCTTTTAATCCACTGCGTTAAATACAGCAGAAATGTCCAAGCTACTTTCTGTTTCTATTATCCTTTTCTGAAGGATCCTGTGACACTAAGAAAACTGATAATTAGTCAAATTCAAATGACGTTTTATTTTATTTTGTTTTATTTCCTTTTTTTTGTCTTGGTCTCTCTCTTTGTCTTTCAGTAAGTTCCGTCCAAAGTCGGAGCAGCATATCGATAACTTCTCGCTGTCCACTGTCGCAGAGGGCTCTCAGGCAAATGTAAGGAAACTCTGTGACACCCCGACTAACCTCCCCCATGCCCGTGCTTTGGCTTACTATGATAACATTATGTGTCAGGTATCTTTTCCTCTCCTCTCTTCCCCTTTGTTTTTCTGTGCATGAGTTCTGGAGGTATAAAGTGCTCTCTCTCTCTTTCGATTTAGGCGGTATGCTTATTGTCTTACTCCTTTCTTCACTTTATTCCACTCTTCATCATTAAGCTGAGAAATAGAAATTTATTATTTTCCCTCCATCTGTTAGAAATATCAATGATCATTAGCTCTTGCCTTAAACATGCTTGATCTAGTATGTGTTGTGTGGTTGGGCAGAACAGAATAATCCAGTTTTTTTCATCAGTGGCCTTCAAAATCCAATTGCTTGGTAATTCATAGTGACAAGGTTTAAAAAATGCCATACCTTACTATTAGGCAGAATTTTAAGTTTCTTAATTGTTATCATGTGTGCAATGCCAAAACCATGACATTTAAAAAGAAATTATTTCTTGTCTCACAGTTGCCTTTTTCAATATGGAAACTGAGCTCGATATAGTAGTGAATCAGGTTTTTTTAAATTTTTTTTACAAGAACTGGACATTGTCAAAAGTGGCAGGAGTGATGAATTGAGAATTAAGATAAAATTTGCAAAGCAACATTAGAATGGAACTGAATACTGTACATAAGCCATTATTAAATATAAATACGACTTCACCAAAGAACTGTAAGTGACTTGTGTAAGTGACAAATTTTTAACAAATAATTTTAGTAATGGAGATTAAACAACATGTTCAGTTTGTTCGTTTAAGAAGTTTGTTCCAGTTTGACACAATAATCAGAAAAATTTTTAATACTGATATAAAACTCATTCTTGAGATGATCTGGGTGGAATTCCAGTATACATGTTAAGAATGTTTAGCATTTGTCTCACAGTCACCTGCTGTTATTTCAGTACCACACTCTAAAATGCTCCATGCCTGTCATCGTGGCTTGGCGGCATATCACTCTATACTAAACCAGCATCCACTACTGCCACAACTCTACTCAGAGGCCAGTGCAGACCCTTATTAAACATTTGCTCAAAGGGATTTGGGTCAGAGCCCAGATCTGTGAATGTGTGTATTTCAGTTTAAGAGCTAAAGACCCTGCCTCAAGCTGGTGCTTTGGGTCATAATAGTGGGGTTTTAAGAATCTTGTTTGTGTGTAGTGAAGCTTCAGTGCTAGATGATGTGATGTGTTAAGCTGTGTGTTTGAGCAGATGACTACTTGCTCTACTCTGGATAATGCCCACACCCTTACAGCTTTAAAGTCAGGATGAAAACAACATGGACCCTTGCTTCCCTGCCTTATTGTAATCGATCAGTGCTCATTATCCCACAGAAAAGTTAGACTTTTTACTGTAGTCAAATATTTCTATTTATTTTAATAAACTTAAATGGATAATTAGGTATTTAAAAATAATGCACTTTACCAGTTTATTGATTTATTATAACAATATAAACTGAGGAAAAATATGTAAAATTTATATATTAGATTATTAATATGTAGATAAATAATTAAAATTAATATTTTTATTAATTATTTATATTAAAAAATTCACTTATTAATTTAATTATATTAATTCACTAGTCTATTTTTTATTTATTTTTTATTTTTAAGCAAAACCACATTTAGTCCAGCTCCATTTCGGTAGGCAATAGTAACTTTCATTCAGGCACATGCCGCAGGGCTAACTTGTCGATCGCTGAGAGAAGGCGTGACCGGGTGCTCTCTACATTAATGGGGTCAGTGCTATTGGAAAAGACCAGTTTTCCATTTGTAGTGCATATAAAGAGTGAACTATTAGATGAACATATAGTTTGTGGGGGGGGGGAAATGCATTCAGCACATGCATTTGCTGAATGTGTTTCAGCTGGTTTACACTAAATGGAAGGGTAGTTAGTAGAATAGACCATAAAACTAGGTTTCAAATTGATCTTTTTAGGCTAAATAGTAAACATGGCCTACATGCACACTGAGCAATGATTTCCTGCAGTATTGATTGGCCTTTCACTCACTACAAAACGTACCCATATGCTGCAGAGTGTAAGTATACGTTTGTGGTTTGTGCTTGACCAGCATCATATGGTGATGGCGTGTCCATTAGTTTAATGGTATTTGATTTGGCTTCATTTGAAACTATTGTTTTTACTCTGCCAACAAAAACGTAACTTGAAATATTTTGTCTAAAATGTAAGTCACTCAATATTAATTTTTTATTGAACTGTTGTATAAAAACGATATCAACACTGCTGTGATTTTTCTGCATCTCAACCAATGAACCATATGGGCTAATATGCATTACATAATAGAAAAATAATAGATCCAGCATCTTCAATAGGATATTGAGCACCTCATACACTATGAAAACACTGGTAAATGAGAGAATTTGTAAATTTATTTTGGAAGCTGTGAACTGAGCATAGCTCAGGTGCTTTATTCTCTGTGGGACCGGCACAGATAGAGGAGCACATAAAGTACACGTCCTTGACAGGGCCATCTGTCCAGTCATGCAGCTGTAGGACTAACCTTGCAGTCAAATCATAGTAATGATAAATGTGTCAACAGGCCACACAACACACTTAAAGTGTGCAACACACTATACTGTTTCTCACTTTCTTTCATCTCTCCACAGATGTGTTTGTAATGGCCAATTTGTTTGAATGTCTGTAAATGAATAAAATTCTGTAAATCAGTCTAGTTCATATTCTGTTGCATTTCCATTTAATTTAATATTGCATTTGTAAGTTTTATGGTTATTTCCAAAACTCTTGACCAGATTTCTTTCTGTGTTCATATAGCCTGCATTGTCGAGCCGTTTTAGGGGGGCGTGGCAGAGTCTTAACTTTGATAAAGAATATCTCTTTGGTATTGAGACTTTAGTCTTTGCAACTTCAGGGATCTTATCTATGCACAATCAGCTTGTAACACTCCAAAGAGAAAGGAAAACTTGAAATCACATCATATGACCCCTTTAATTTAATATTGCATTTGTAAGTTTTATGGTTATTTCCAAAACTCTTGACCAGATTTCTTTCTGTGTTCATATAGCCTGCATTGTCCCAAATCATGCTTATACAACATGTCATATGAAATATCACAGAAGTAAATTATTATATATACCAGTTTGTATGCTGCTCAACTGCCTCTTTTCTAACACCTCTCTCTGTTGTTTGTAGGTGTAACATTCAGGAGTATATCTGGAACAAAGGCTCCAGGTGCGAGTCGGTCATTTCTGACTTCCAAGCGATGTGTATAGCAGTGGGTGGAGCTGCCATCATGTTGTTACTCCTCTTCATGCTTATAGTCTTTTTCTCCAAGAGGATGCACGTGCTTAAGACTGAAAACAGACGACTTCGCAAGCACAGGTGAAACGCACATGTAAACACACACTTCTTAGAGTCCTAGTTTCAGATTTGACTGTTTAAATTTTGCTTGATGGAGCTGAATACACTGTAGCACATACAGGCTGGAGTACAATAAAATGTGCAGTGTTAACATGGGCTTTGAAAACAATGATATCACCCTTCTTTGCTGAAAGTAGGCCAGTCTGACAGTGCAGCACGAGAGCGACCTATATACTATGCAGCCAAAGGCATTTAAACACAAGCCAAGAGAAGGGTAAGATGGAGAGCAGAGGAGTGGAAGAGAAAGGAGAAAATTGGAAGAGATAAAGGGAAGGGAGTATAGTAATGATGACAACAGTTCAAATTGTTTACGTTTGAGTTTTAACTGCCCATCAAGACCATTTGCTGCAGGTAACATCTGTGTACATGTGTGCTTGTGCAAGCAACTTGAGCTTTTAATCCACTGCGTTAAATACAGCAGAAATGTCCAAGCTACTTTCTGTTTCTATTATCCTTTTCTGAAGGATCCTGTGACACTAAGAAAACTGATAATTAGTCAAATTCAAATGACGTTTTATTTTATTTTGTTTTATTTCCTTTTTTTTGTCTTGGTCTCTCTCTTTGTCTTTCAGTAAGTTCCGTCCAAAGTCGGAGCAGCATATCGATAACTTCTCGCTGTCCACTGTCGCAGAGGGCTCTCAGGCAAATGTAAGGAAACTCTGTGACACCCCGACTAACCTCCCCCATGCCCGTGCTTTGGCTTACTATGATAACATTATGTGTCAGGTAACTTTTCCTCTCCTCTCTTCCCCTTTGTTTTTCTGTGCATGAGTTCTGGAGGTATAAAGTGCTCTCTCTCTCTTTCGATTTAGGCGGTATGCTTATTGTCTTACTCCTTTCTTCACTTTATTCCACTCTTCATCATTAAGCTGAGAAATAGAAATACTATCCTCTTCATCCCCCACTCTTTCGGTTACCTGTTGTCATTGACTCGCATGTGCCACCTGAGTTCATGTAAAGGACTACAGGCTGTGTGAAGCAATGTGGAAACTGGATTATCTTATGTGTTTCCAAACATACTGATCATATTAGCGGTTGTGTAGAGAGGTTGGGCAGTCAATGCAATATTTTTCAAACAGTTTTAGTCCTAACTGTTCTTTATATAAGGTACAGTGAATGTAATGGAATATCTGCTGAGGCTGAGGTGTTGATTAATTAAGAGGGAATGATAACAAACTGTCAGAAGTGTGTCAGTAGAGTAATCCTCTTTCGACACCCCACTCCTTAGAAAACCATGAGCAGATACACGTGGGAATATAAACCCAAAGAGGATCCCTGCAGCGAGGTAAGACGTCTCAAACTGACCGCCTCCCAGTACGCTTTGATACCCTGCTGATTCAAATAAAACGCTTTAATCCTGTAGCTTCATTATTACTCACAACTATCACCACTATCATAGTTGAAATCCATCTTAAGCCTTTACTTCCTAAGAAATGACATAGACAAGCAATACTAGATTTAGCGGGTTAAAATAGACACTTCCTCACCATAGTTGTGAGAACTTGATTCCTGCAACTTAACATCTTGCTAGACAACATAATGTGTCACTGTCAGCTGTTAAACTCCTCACATCATTCAAAGCACTAACAACACAGCGACCTTGTAGAAAATTGTGTTGCCTGCTGGGTAACATACTCTATTCTATTCATAATTCTAGAGATGCATGAAATATCAGTACTATATAATTTATAGGTGGTATTATTATTGAATAATATATATATATATATATATATATTATTTGTATCATGTGGTATCAAATATTTAATTGTGCATTTCCTCTGTTACGTGTAGATTAATTTTGCCATCATCTGAAACCCAATTAATCTTGAAGTTAATCTTTAAAAACAAATAATTTAATAATAAAAAATATAGAAAATCTCTAATATAATATTTTTAATCTCTTTTATACTGTATGTTATAAGATAAATTGTGAGATAAGTAGTCATAATTATGATATTGAGTTGAAATTATGAAAGTCCTGTGTGATACATAAATTCATGTGTAGTTTATAAAATGTTTTAAGTTTGTAATGGGCTATTGTTTTATTTATTTGTTTATTTATTTGTTTTAGAGAAAATAGTAAAATGATTGGAATTAAAAGCTGGAAATATTTAACAGCTTATGGAAATTAAACTTAATATTGACGAATCCCTAATTAATCTCAGTAGTGATTTACAAAAATAACTGCCTTTGATTATCTTTGCATCGACAGTATATTAACAGATGGATGAAACAGGGGAGGAACATTTCCACTTTGTGTTTGAGAAAAGATTCTTTCTCTGTGCTCTCATCTGGAGGTCATCTTTCAGAGTAGATTACCATAAATAAATGTTCCACAAACAGACTCCAACCTATTCCTTCTGTTGAGCGTATAACATTTGATCTTTAATGAAGGACCAAACAGCAGTCTTACTGCTATATTCACCTGTTACCCTCCAGTACCTGGTGAACCTTGAACTTGTCAGATCCTGTGCTCTAGCACTTTGATTTAGGCCATTTATTTATTCTGAGGTGAAATGTGATCTCATAGTGGAAGAGACTCTTTTATGATTAAAAGAGTTTGACAGCTTCACTGTGCAACAGGGAGGAGAAATAGAGCAAGACTGAGATAAGGCAAGAAATGAGGGATGGTTGATGACAGACATACCAGAGACGAAAGAGCTATGAAAATATCCCTAGGTGTCTTTGTTTACTTGTGAGTTGTTTGAATTGTCTTACTGCCTCTGGGGAGAATTTATGACATTTTTCATCTTCTCTCTCTTGAGAATGAGTATTTACACATGTCTGATTTCAGCAGCATGAATAGTCTTCTTTTCTTTCCTCCCCATGGCATGTACAATCACTGCCTTTGTGGTTTCAAAAAGGGATATCACAGGTAGCAAGTTGTTAAAAAAAGCTTTGCTTTTAAGCGACTTGTTGTAATGCCTAGCATTAGTAAATAAGACAGGCTCACAGCAGTAAACATTGTGTTGAAAACACCAATTTAACAAGTATTGCTTAATGCCTTATGAATAAGCAAGGCTTACTGTTAGTGCCATAGTATCCAGTTTATGTAACCTCTGTGCTTATAGTGTGTTGATGTCTCTTGCTAAATAGAAAAAACTGCAGATATCCCTTGAAATTGCTGGTTGTGGATCAGTTTATGCTTTGAAATGTACCATTTACTCCACTCAGCTGTGAAGTAAAAACTGAATCCAGATCCATGCACTCACCTCATGAACAGTTTTGTTTATGGTATGGTGCTCCTGGGCCTTGTTTACAACTGGTATTAACATCCGGTGATTCGACAAGCAGCTTGAGGTGTAAACTGCATTCAGTGCATCTTGAAATGCACTCAATCTTCACATATGGAAGCCCATTTCCGCCACATAAAGTCATTATGAGAGAAAAAATTAAATGGACATACTAAGAATCTCATAATTGACTTTTGACCTTTGATCTCATAACCGTGACTTAATTATGGTGTTAAATATGAGCGAGTCAAATGTGTATAAAGCCAAAAATGACACACCAAGTCAATAATGAGATATTAGGTCATTGTTATGAGATCAAAAGTCAAAGTTGACATGCTATCTCACAGTTGATTTAGTATGTCAGTTTTGACTTTCAAATGGATAATTATGACTTGGTATGTCAGTCTTGACATTTGGCATATTTTTGAATCGTTCATAAGTCATAATTATGAATTAAAAAGTCAAAACTGACATACTAAATCATTCTTGAGATGGTATGCCAATTTTGACTTTTAATCTCATAATTATGACTTAGTATCGCATAATTCACTTGGTATGTCAGTCTTAACATTTGGCATAATTTTGACTATCATTATTGACCAAGACAATTATGAAATCAAAGGTAAAAAATGTATATTCTTAGTCAATTAGGAGAAAGCTGAAATTCTGGCAAAAGTCTTATGACAGAAGTCAAAATTATGGCAGTCAAAACTGAGATGGTCAATTATGGCATCTCATAATTGACTTATTTTGACTTTTCATAATTGATTTACCAAAGCATGATTTTTATTATTAATATTAATTATTTATTTGTTTTTTTTGGCATTGGAAATGGGCTTCCAAACAGACAATTTAAGTCAGAGACTGGCTGGCATAATGCATAATTGCTATAAAACTAGGGGCTCACCTAAATATGGCAATTTTATTATTTACTCTCCCTCATGCTATTCCAAATCTTTTTTTTGTGTTTACGCTGTTTTTTGAAAACTTGGTCATTAGGGGGCTGTCAAGCTCCAAAAAGCACTACAGGTATCAGAAATAGTCCATATGACAGTTATGCACTGATAGCTTTGTGTGTGATTGCATTGGAAGTGGTCACCGGAGACACATTTGAGATCTTAATGCCAGGTGTAAAAGGGTGGAGTGGAACATTGTTACTTTTTTCCCTTCATTGTCATCTTGTGTGTATGTGTGTTACTCCACAGGATTGCACTTGCAAAGAAGAGCCATGCAAATGTCCCCCTAAAGAGGACGAGTCTTTGAACAACCAGAACTCGCTCACGCCAAAACTGGAAAACGACGAGGCTGCAACAGAAGACAATGCGGAGGAGGTAAAGTCACTGCAGAACAACGTGTAGTAACACCCTTTTGCCACAGGCTGGCGCTGTGACTGTAGCAAGACACATTTTTTGACACCTTGAAATGACTAAAATTCCCTAATTAATGGACTAAACATTGACATGGCACTCTTCCTTGCACTCACCTCAAGATGGCTCAATGTGGGCTTCAAAACAAACAAAACACTGTACTAGCATGCTAACTTTTGCTTGTACTCTGTCATCACACGGTGGGGTTCCTACCCCCAGAGTACCATACCAGCACATTGGTGTTGCCACATTCACCTTGTCCTTGCTTGCTGTCACTGCTGATGTCACGCTGCATTCCGTTATGTCAAGCTTTTTGATGCTGTGTTCTGCTAAGTCATGCTACGCTATGAAACACTTCACCCCACAACCCAAAGGTTTAGCCTCCAGGTTTTCAACCTTTGACCTTCAGTCCTCACTGTTGTGTTATCTCTGAACTCCTGTCTGTCCTGCCTTACTCAAGTCAGCATGCATTGGTGTTCTTTGGTACAAAAGAAACCATCTGTGGGAAATAATGTAGCTATTTAGACTGTGTAAAAAAAAAAAATTCTGAGATTGGTAGATGTTTGTTGACTTATTCAGTGCGTATGTCTAAATATATATATATATATATATATATATA